GGAGTTCACATTAGTTTACTCCTGAAAATATGAAAATAGGTCTGATTATATCTTCTGGTATATCCCTGCTGTTGCAGATTTCATTTATTATTTCTGTAATCTTGTCTATGCCCAAATCATCTACGGCTGTCAGCATCTCAATTCCCTCTAGCCCTGCCGCCTTATTTCTGTTCAATTTGGCCAATGCCGCTTCAACTTCGTTTTTTAGAATTTCAGCCCGTCGATAATTCTGTGTATTGCTGGTTGTTTTTCTTCTGTTGTGGAAGAGCTCTCCAATATATTCGTTCCAGCACTGAACTTTACATATCAATTCGAAGTTTCTTGGTAATGTTGATTCTTTAAGGGGATTTAAAAAAAAATGAACCCTTTGAAGGACGGATATTACCAAGAAACTTCGAAGTCGGGGAAACAACAAAAATGATATTAAGTAATATTTTATATAATATTAATATTAAGTAATATATAATATTATTGCTAAGTAATCTTTTATATATTAATATTAAGTAATATATAATATATAATATTATTGTTAAGTAATCTTTTAGATAATATTAATATTAAGTAATATATAATATATAATATTATTGTTAAGTAATCTTTTAGATAATATTAATATTAAGTAATATATAATATATAATATTATTGTTAAGTAATCTTTTATATAATATTAATATCAATGCTATATTTCTAATATTATTCTAATATTTTTAATATTAAGTACTATGTATAAAAATATGTGTTTTTTAAATATATATATATATATATATATATATATATATATATATAGAGAGAGAGAGAGAGAGAGATGGAGACAGAGAGGAATAGTAAAAAAAAAACTAAGAGAACAAATAAGAAAGTGAGCGTAGGTGTGGGAAAATAATACACACTTTCTTCCTCTTTTAGTTCTTCTTCTTCCTCCTCCTCCTCCCTACCCTCCTTCTTCTCTTCTCTTTCTTCTTTCGCATCCACCAACTTCTTCTTCTTCTTCTTCTTCCATTTAAGGTTCTTCTTCTTCTTCCTCCTCCTTCTCCTCCTCCTCCACGTCGTCGTCGTCTTCTTTTTATTCTATGTGCTTCCAGGACGTAGGTGACAATAGCTCTCCACAATTTCTCATCATTTGTTGACCTTAGAAACGTTCATCTTTTCATCACCCTTTTTCAGTCTCTGTTCTTCCAAGGTAGATTATTGGCCACTTTCCCTGTGTTTTCTCTGCCTTCACTATGCCCCTGCGAGTGTCAAATTCTCGAAACCCTCTATCCTTATTATATGTCCTGCAAATATCAACTGTCTATAATACCAGATTTATCAATTAAGTTTCATCATTTTATTGAAATTGCTAATTGTAACCGTAAGTTCTATTCTAATAAGTTCTTCTCTTGCACATCTCGTTTATGGGAGTCACTTTCAGCTTCCTGCTTTGCAGTCAAGAATGACCTTCAAGAAATGAAATGCAGCATCAACTGCCATCTTTTGTCTCTTGAACCCTGTTTTTTTTTTTTTTTTTTCGGTACGGTTTTCTCATTTTCCTTCTCTCTATATAACTTCGGGCGCGCACACACGTAAACACACGCACGCACACACAGTAGTGAAAAAGAGAGATACAATGTGTGTGTGCATGTGTGTGTGTGTGTATGTGCGTATGTTAATAACGATCGAAAGCGCTGGTGAAAATAATCGAAACCAAAAGAAAGAAAAAAGAGTGAAAGAAATGAATGTGAAAGAGAGAGAGAGAGAGAGAGAGAAATAAAGAGAGAGAGAGAGTGTGTATGTGTGGTGTGGTGTGGTGTGGTGTGTGTGTGTGTGTGTGTGTGTGTGTGTGTGTGTGTGAATTAAATCAGAAGAAACAGAAAGAAGCAATGAGTAAGTGAGTGTATGTCACTTGGTGCAGCAGGACCTTCGATGAGTCAGGAGAGTCATAGAAAAGAAAGAAAGAGAGAAAAGAATGCGAGAGAGAAAAAGAAAGATAGTGAGCGAGTAGGAGAGTCAGAAGGGGAGTGAAATCATAAGCGTGAAAGACATTGAGAACGCCAGTCAAAGAGAAAGAGATTAAGACCGAAACGGGAGAGCAAGTGAGAAAGACGTTCCACACTACAACCCCTTTCCCCACTGTCGAAACGTTGCTAGACTCCCGTTAATCTTTCACTATTTTTGTGGTAGTTGTCCAGACGAGCGAAATTCTTTAGTTCCTACAGTCTAGGCCTTCATAGCTAGGAACCGCTATACCACGTATACAGGTTCGAAGCATCCCCATCTCCTTCATATTTAATTGGTAATTAGGAAGTTCTACTTTTCAGGAACTCTTACGTTGTGGTACAGACTCCCAAGAGAATGCTTCCCTGAACACTAGAATCTTAAATTCTTCAAACCAAGGATAGATCATTATCTTTCTTCCTTATCCTCATAATATTCTATTACCACCAATTAGATTTATATCACAACCCTCATTACGTAATCCTCTAACTTGAGTGGCACTTAGGCCTTGTGTTGGAGGAAGTAGTATAAAAAGTGACGCGTTGTGAAAGAGACAATCAGATATTGTGAGAAATCGTGATAAAGGAAAGAAAAACACAGGGAGATAAAACAAGAAAGAAAGAGGAAGAAGGAAAAAGCAAGAGAGAAAAAGGGAGAAGGAGAGAGAGATAAAAAAAGAAAGAGAGAGGAGGTAGAAGCAAGATGAAGAAAATAAGCGATTAAAACTAGAAGGTGAAAAAGAGATTGAAATATAGGTGGGAAAAGCGCGCGTGTGTGTGTGTGTGTGTGTGTGTGTGAGAGAGAGAGAGAGAAAGAGAGAGAGAGATTAAAAGTGGGATGGGTAAACAAAAAAGAATGTTGCTTGGCATTCTTGCTGAGAGAAAATGGACTTTGAAATTCAAGTCCAGCATTAAACATTGGATATAAACTTAATTGAGAACATTTAGAGTTTCAAACAACGAAACTTGGAGGCGGGAGGATCGATAACAAAAACAGACTATGGAATGCAGTCCAAACAACGGGGTTCGCTCTCTGTTGATTATTTCCAGAAATTAAAGTCGACAATAACTAAAAGTCGAACACCTTAAAAGAACCTTTATGGTAACAACAGCAGAAGAGAAGAAAATAGAATAAAAGAAGTGGATGCTCGAAGAAATTTTACAGACAATGAGAGTAGATACGGAAGCAATCATAAACTGGTTTCAAGATCGAATCTTCATTTCTTCGAATAGTTCATTTCACTGAAAAATAAAAAAAAGTAAATAAGAGGATTTAACTTTTATATACGAAGAGTGCTTTTTTTTTTAAAATGGTTTACCATTTCATGCTTTGAATATTGCTGCCACATATTTTCTGGTGCTCCTACGATTTATTGATTAAAGATCTTTGATAAAATCCAAAGAAGAGTCTGCTACGTCGTTGGTCCTCACATGGCAAATCGGCTTCAGTCACTTTCTCCACCGTTACAACGTAGCTTTCCTGTGCCTTTTCTATAAATACTTTCAGGGTAATTGTTCTAATTAACTTTACTCTACGGTAATTATTGTAAATATTCATTTTTTGAGTTGTTATTTTTATTTTTAAAATTTGTTTTACTCCCCACTCATGCAATTTGTACATATGGGAACTAGTTAGGATTTCATAGAGACTTGAGGTATTATGGTGACTGTAGTTGGAATGGTAGGAACGTATTGGGGTGTAAGGAATACTGTGGTATGTTTGGGTCAATAATTCTGTCTAGCTAAGTTTAAGATAAGACAGATTGAAAATCAACCTTCCCTTATTCCCACTTTTGGCTTTGTGCCACATTTTTGTATTATTCAAAATTATTCTATGGGACCTAGACTTTATGAATTTAACCGCATTACTCGATTGGCAATAAGGTCTCATCATTTTACAATTGAAATAGATAGATGCAACCGTAAGTTCTATGCTAACAGTTTCTTCTATCGTACTTCTTGCTTGTGGAAATTTCTTCCGGCTTTTTGATTCTCAGTTAATATTGACCTTAAAACATTTAAATGCAATGTCAATCGTTATCTTCTGTTTTGATAATCTATGTTCTTTCATAGTTGTTTTTTATATTCTTTTATTGTTTTTTATATTCTTTTATTGTTTTTTATATTCTTTTACACACAGTAATCGCAATGTGTCTTAGTTGCTTTATTCTCTTGGTTGGGATGAAATGTTACTTTTACAGAAGTTTTCTTGTTTATTTACGATATTGAATACTGTTTTAATAATATTCTTTAATATTTTGATTTTATTCTAGTAACATTTATTCTAGAAAATATTTTATTCTGGAAAAGATTTTATTCTAGAAAAAGATTTTATTCTAGAAAAGATTTTATTTAAGAAAATCAGGAGTAACAAGTAAGAAATGACGAAATAGTTTGAAAATACATGCGTAAATAAATTAAATATTAAGTATTTTGTACTAATACTTTATTTTGTTTCTTTTAATATTCATCGTTTTTTTCACTTATATTTTCGTTGCCCGAAGAAAAGAAAATAAATTTCCTTGCTAATTACAATATTAATTAATTTTCCTTTCCTAATTACAATATTAATTAAAACTTTTAAACAAACCAACTGACTTGTTATTAATCATTGATCTGTACCAAATAACAGACACCACATCACTTGATCACTGCTAACAGCATCAGCAACTAAAATGGATAGTTCTGATCGGGAGATTGGAGGTTTTGAGAAGCGAGGAACCACCACTTTATTGCTGTTGTTCCCAGATCCACCCTGACCCGGAGTGGTAGCACCTGTTAGGGTCCCAGCTATGGGCGAATAGTTAACACCCAAACAAAAACAAAACACTATGAAAGTATAAAAATATATATTTTTAGTAAACTTATATTACATGTAGTAGTATAACAACACTGTTTTCTTTATCCGGTTTTGATATCGAATATCTTTATTAAATTTTCAATTGTTTTTAATATGGCATGTTTCTTGAAAGTAATTTTTGTTGGTTTATCTGAATAAATATAATTATCTGAAGTATACGAAAGATTGTCTTACGGCCATATCACGTTGAAATACCGGTCATCGTTCGATCACCGAAGTTAAGCCACGTCGATCGTAGTCAGTCCTTAGGTAGGTGATTTCGCTTGGGAATACCTGGTTCTGTAAGTTGAGATGCAAATTGTGCAGGTGGCGTAATGGATAACGGTTCGGAATGCGAAATCAGAGAGCAGAGTTCAAATTCCAGTTGGGTCCATTACATTCATTTACGCGCAAATATCCTTGGGCGATCATGAATCGAAGAGAAATATGATCGTCCAAGTATTTCACAACCTCTATCAACACACATTGCTCGGTAAGACAATGGCCTGTTTCTCCGCCCATTTGGGTAAGGCCTACGTCTGACAAAGAATCTTCACAGTCTGAGAAGCGTAACGAAAGAAATACGATAGATTGGGAATTACTGGATTTTTATCATTTTTACCGACAAGTTCAGACTTTGGTGAATAATTCAGAATCTGTAAAACTTCCCTTTTTCATTAACTACTAAGATGGCCGACCTGTCGTTTTCGACACCTTCAAATTTTCAACAAATTACTTTGGAATAACTAGTTTTGGTTCGATGCTGAGGCTTATGGACAATTATTGAATTTTAGCAAAGATGCTTAACAGACTTAATTCTTTAAAAAATATTCAGTGGAATAGCTGATATTTGAGGTTTTACCTTGAAATGGCCGAGGTGTCGTTTTTGACACCTAGGCTATTTATAGGCTAAATGCATTGAAAAATTTCTCACAAGCAATAATACTTGTATTTATGTCCCCTATCTATCTATTTATCTATCTATCTATACACACACACATAATTTTATATATATATATATATATATATATATATATATATATATATATATATATATATATATATATAATCACTTTCTTTCAGTATGATGTATACTAATATTTGTGAATTTTTTTATGACTTGTTATTCCTGACTTGAATATTGAATATATTAGAGATGGCTGCTTCACGGCGTAATGTAAATAAAGATGTCAAAGGAGCTGGCCACCCTAGTGTTAACTACTAGTATTTATTAACTATTAGTACCTATTAAATATCAGTATCGTCCTGGGTATGACGATAATCTACATCCGCGTCCTGGGTAAGACGATAAACAGCAAGGCCTCTGATCATGAAGTTTAGAGGAGCGTGGAACCACCTATTAATTGCTGATGTTCCCAGGTCCACCCTGGCCCGTGTGATAGCACCTGTTAGGGTCCCAGCTATGGGCAAATAGTTAACTCCTAAACTGGGGTAAAAACATTTTGAAAGTGTAAAAATAAGTTTTAATACCGGAAATACTTGAAATAAGTTTTTGAAGAAAAAAATCTATTACCAGCAATACATTTTTGAAAAAATATTACCAACAATGTTTTTAAAAAATAAAAAATACTAGCAATACATTTTTGAAGGAAAATATTACCAGAAATAGATTTTTGACAAAACAAATATTACCAGCAATAAAAACTTTGTCGGCATTAAATAACCCATTGAGGTTGATATGCCGTAAAACAAACCTATTTATTAACTATTAGTACTATTAAAATCTGGCATAAAATCGGCTTTGGAAAAAATGACGAAATACAAAACAATAGGACAAAATGCTGACAGCCTGAGACGATTTAAGTATTGATAAGTTTACAGAAATAATAATTTATAGGCCGCGTCCATTCAGGACGTGATCGATCATGGCTCTCCATATCTTCCTATCGTTTGTTGTGCTACGTAACTGCTGCTCGTTTACTAAACTTTCCGTTCTTCTTCTGCCAGCCAATTACCCAAATTAAAATAGGTTAGTTTCTCTTTTTCTCTGTATCTCTGACCTTCAGTATGTCCCGTGGGTGTTAAATTCTCCAAATCTTCTTTCCTCATTAGATGTCAAAATAGTTTCAGTCGTCTCTTTCTGATTGTTAACACGAGTTTCTTTGTAGTTCATATTCTCTCTAAAATTTGCTCGTTACCCATCTAGTCTATCAGTAACTTTTAAAACAATAAACATTGCCGAGGAGTGAAGATAATTAAAATAATAGCGGTGTCAAGGTAATAACCGTACCATATTTTTGCAGACACGAAGGTTTAAGATTGCCAGAATTTCTACTTTTTCACAAGAATTTCTTCTTTGTACTCTGTTCCTTCAGGACGTTGGCGATCATGGCTCTCCACAATTTATTGTCCTTTGTAGCTGCTAGTAAATTTGATATTTTTGTTATCTTTCCTATACCTTGTTCTGCCATCCATTTACATAATCTCGTTAGGTAAGTTATGAGTTGTTTTCTTGACTTCAATATGTCTTGTGAGTGTCGAACTTTCCAAACCCGCTTTCTTCATTTTGCGCCCTAGAAAATTAATTCTAATGATAAATATCTGCTCCCTTTTTCTTTCCCTTCTCTTAGACAGGTTTATCCCGCCAAGAACTGCTACTGTGTGAATAAGACCTCCGCATGGAAAATTTTCTGAACACTTGATTAAGCATTATTCCTCCTTATGCTCATAATCGTGAAGATTCCGATCCCCTCCTCTTAAATTTACATGATACGTATCATTCATTAATCCTCTGCCTTGAGCGGCTCTAGGGTCTTGAAGTGGGTGAAAATAGAACATTTAATAGAGAAAAGTTTACCGTGACGCATCACCCTAGTTTTGCTTGCAGGCAAATTTAAGCTAAGATAATCCAGTTAGATTTTGTAATCCGTGCCTAGCATGATCAGTCTTTCTCTGAAAGTCTTTCTTCCCGATAACTCAAGAATAGTTTGACAGATTTTTCACTAAACCCCCGCGGGTAAATTTTTCAGATAAACGTGTTCGAAGAGACTAGAATTTAGGCACGTCTATTTTTATTTCATTTATATACTAATGGTTAATTTTATTTTGACAAGTTATGTCTGCATTCGTGTAGACCTAATCCCATTTGTTTTTCTCGTGTCAAAATAGTTGTACTCTAATCCAATTAAAAGAGCAGCCAAGCTGCGAGAAAGAGAGAGAGAGAGAGAGAGAGAGAGAGAGAGAGAGAGAGAGAGAGAGAGAGAGAGACTCGTCGATTCAAGATAATCTTTTTTTATTTAAATGCCATGTCCCTTCAGACAAAATAATTTGTGAATTGTGATTATTTCTTAGTAAAGAGATTTAAGTGCTTTCCTGTTCCTATCACCAAAGTTTTGAGGTCAGGGTTCTTCTCCTCGACTAGTTGCCAACCCAGGCTAGAGAGACCAGTCTGTCCTGCTTCTGAACCATAGTTGGCATCGTCTAAAAGAACTTACAAATAATGACTCAGTCTATGTAAAATATTTTGTCAAATTTCATATAATTCCAATACAAAAAGACATTCTTGCATGAGCAGCTTATTTGTAGAATATGGAATTTTTTTACCAAGTGTTTTTGAGATGCCATTCGAAGTATTGCTAAAGGTTTATCTTTTTTATCATTTCACTCCAAGCAAGGCGGTAAAGCTACTAAGACGCAAGGAGTTGTGGAAAGTGAAGGAAAATGAGAAAACCGTACCGAAGAAAAAGGAAAAAAAAAAAAAAAAAACAGGGTTCAAGAGACAAAAGATGACAGTTGATGCTGCATTTCATTTCTTGAAGGTCATTCTTGACTGCAAAGCAGGAAGCTGAAAGTGACTCCCATAAACGAGATGTGCAAGAGAAGAACTTATTAGAATAGAACTTACGGTTACAATTAGCAATTTCAATAAAATGATGAAACTTAATTGATAAATCTGGTATTATAGACAGTTGATATTTGCAGGACATATAATAAGGATAGAGGGTTTCGAGAATTTGACACTCGCAGGGCATAGTGAAGGCGAGAGAAACACGGGAAAGTGGCCAATAATCTACCTTGGAAGAACAGGGACTGAAAAGGGGTGATGAAAAGATGAACGTTTCTAAGGGCAACAAATGATGAGAAAATGTCGTTCACGTCCTGAAAGCACATAGACTAAAGAAGAAGGAGGCGAGGATGAAGAAGAAGAAGAAGAAGAAGAGGAAGAAGAAGGAAGTAGAGGAGGAGGAAGAAGAAGAAAAAAGAAGAATAGGAGGAGGGGTGGGGAGGAGGAGGAAGGAGAAGAACTAGAAGAAGAAGAAGAAAGTGGTGGTGGAAGAGGAAGAAGAAAAAGAGGAGGAGGAGGAAGAAGAAGGAGGTGGAAGAGGAAGAAGAAGACAAAGAAGAAGAAGAGTAGGAGAGAAGGAAGAGAATGAGAAGCAAGAAGAGGATCTAGAAGAAAAAGGAGGAAGTGGAGGAGGAGGAAGGAGGTGGAGGAGAAAGAAGAAGAAGGAAGGAGGAGGAAGACGAGGAAGAAGAATAACTAGAAGAGGAAGAAGAAGAATGAGGTGGAGGAGGAGGAAGAACAAGAAGAACAAGAAGGAAGAGCGGGAAGAAAAAGAGAAGAAGAAGGTGGCACTGGAATAATAATAATAATAATAACAATAATAATAATAACTGCACTGTTAAATCTGCAACTTCTACGGGAAGAAAACAGAAAGAAACTGGTATGAACACCACCCAGACCCGGTTACGGAGATAGGACCTGTTACAATTCTATGGGACTAAACAATACACACTGACAGAACAATCAAGGCCAACCGTCCAGATATTGTTATTAAAGACCACAAACAAAAACGATGCCTCCTTATTGATATGGCAGTCCCTGCTGACTGCAATATATCTTTGAAGATATTCAAAAAGTTGTCAAAGTACAAGGACCTTGAAATAGAAATCTCGAAAATGTGGCATATGGGAACATCAACAATCCCTGTTGTAGTTGGAGCCCTAGGACTGGTTGGAAAAGATTGCAGTAGACTAATTGAAGGGATTCCTGGAAGTCCATGCCTCAAGGAGATACAAAAAATTGTCCTGACAAGTACAGCCCACACCTTATGAAGGGCTTTATCTATGTAATTTAATTATTTTTTTTTTTTTTTTTTGTCAGTGGAAAGTGTCATGACGCCATTTCTAACCTTAGGTCCCTGGGCGGGACCCGGAAAGAAATGTGTAAACGCCAGAAATCAAAGAAAATGATAATAAAATAATAATAATAATAAAGGTGCACTTTTGAGGCTTTGTCCCCGAACATTCTGATACCTGTTATGTTGATATTCATTAAGTTTACT